AATCTTAAAAAAGGATTAATACTCAATTCTACTAGTTGATGAGCTTATAGAGTGGTTAAATAAAGTCAAGTTCTTTATCAAATTGAATATTCATCAAGGCTTTCACTGAATATGTATGCACTTTGAGACTGAAGATCTGACTACCTTTAGAACATGTTATAAGACCTACAAGTATAAGGTCATGCTCTTTGACCTAAGCAATAGCTCAGCAATTTTTCAATACTTTATGAATATTATCTTTTTTGACTACTTGAATCAGTTTATGACTGCTTTTGTAAATAATCTACTTATCTACAGTAAAACTTTAAAAGAATACAAGAAGCATATCAAGAAAGTGTTGACTAAATTATGAAAAGCTGAACTACAAATAAGTATCTCAAAATATGAGTTTCATATCCAACAGATAAAGTATTTAGATTTTATTATCACTGATCAAGGAATTAAAATAAATTCAAAAAAGATTACAGTGATATCAATATGAGCAGTATCTAGTATAGTCAAAGGAGTTCAATCCTTCTTGAGATTCTATAACTTCTATAGGTATTTTATTAAGAATTACAGTTAAATTATAAAATCACTATTTAAACTCATTTGAAAGAATTAATCTTTTGAGTAGAATGAGACCTCCTAGTGCACTTTTAATCAAATAAAGAGAGCTCTATCTGAAGCCCCTGTACTCTATCATTATATCTTAAATTGAGAGACTCAGATGAAGATTGATGTCTCAGATGATGCTATAGCTGATGCTCTATCTCCATTGTGTAAGAATAAGCAGTGGCATTCAGTTGTCTTCTATTCTGCTTTAATGAATGAAGCAGAGAGAAACTATGAGATTCATAACAAGAAGATGCTAACAATTGAGAAAGCACTAGCAGAATGACATGCTGAGCTGAAAGGTCTTTAGAGAACAGAGAGATTTAAGATCTTAACTGATCATAAAACTCTTGAGTACTTTATGATAACTAAAAATCTCAATGCTAGACAAGCACAATTAGCAGAGTTCTTCTATTAATTCTACTTTCTAATTCAGTATTAGTTGAGGTGTCAAAATATACTAATAGACACATTGAGTTAATCAGAGGTTCAGAAAGATAGCGAAAGTACTCAGATATAACTATTCCTCAAGCCAGAAAGGTTGAACCCAAAGATCATCAAGGAATCTATTGAGATCAAGACTTTAAATATAGATATATATATTTTTAATAAAATCAAGACAAGAAACAAAGAAGCAAAATTACTGAGATCAGAATTTGAGAAAGTACAATAAAGAGAATAACACTGAGAGCTGATAGACGAATTTTTATATTTTGAAGAATATTTAATGATATCAATTAAATAAAATTCTACTCTTTAAGTGTATTTTTTAAAAGAGATTTATGAGCAGTCATCTATAATACATCCTGGGAAGAAAAAGCTACACTTGCTAGTGAAAGCAAGATACTACTGAAATGACTAAATCAAAGATATTAATCAGTATGTGAACAATTGTCTAGTGTGCTGAAGAATAAAGATCTCTCAGAATAAAACTTCAGAACTGCTGAAGTTACTATCAATCTCCAGCAGAGTCTGATAGCATATCTCAATGAACTTCATGAATGACTCTATGATGAAAAGAGATCATGATGCAATATTAATAATTATCTGTTGACTAAGTAAGAAGTCTATATCTATTTCTATCATAAGGAAGACAGATATGAAAGAGCTAGTAAAACTGTTCTTAAAATGCTACTATGAATATTATGAAGTATCAGATTCAATTATATTAGACTGTGAGTCACAATTTATCTTAGACTTCTGAAGTAAGTTCATCAGATAATTGAGAGTTAAGCTGAAGCTTTCATCAGCTTATCATATATAAACAGATAGTCAGATTGAGGTTATGAATCAATATCTGGCAATCGAGCTCTATTTATATGTAAATTACTATCAGAACAACTAGAATGAGTAGCTGTCAATGATGAACTACACAACTGAAGCTCTGATGAATGAATCAACTAGAATGACACTCTTTCTAACAGCTTATGAATATGAATTTCAAATGTTCTTTGATTGAAAGTCACTGCTTAAGATACTACTTAGAAAAAAGAAGCTTAAATAAGAAGAAGCTAGGTAGCATATCATTCAAATAAAGGAAATCTGAAAGCTAGCAGTAGATAATATGAAAAAAATATAAGAAATCATAAAATTACAGATCAACAAATACTGCCATTGTTAGGCTCAGCGTCCGACCGAGCCCGACCGAAGGCCGGTGCCCGGTTAGACTCGACGTCGGATTAAGCGCGGCGCCCGATTAGGCCTAATCCATATCACGTGACCACACGACCATGCAGGTGGTTATAATCCACGCAGGCCCCCAGCACCCCCTTTCATCCCATCAAGCTTAGTATTTCGTTATATAGCAGTTAGCAACGCAGAGAGTCTTTCTTCTTATGCAGCTCGCATTCGCTCCCTAACAGCCATGAGTCAAACTTTGAAATATAAAATAAAACCTTTTTGTCACTAAAGAACTATAGAATTCAACACCTCAGCAGAAAACTTACAGAGTAAAATAAAGGTCTCTTTGAGATTATTGAGAGAGTAGATAATAGTTACAGACTAAAACTATCAAACAACATAAAAATTTATCTAATATTCTCTTCTGATAAGCTATGAAAAACTGTAAATAATCCTCTACCAGAATAGCTAAATGAGATATCAGAATCAGTTAACATACAAGAAGAAAATAAGTGAGAAGTTAAGAACATTTTAGCAAGTTGTATCTTTTATAAAAAGTTTCAATATTAGATAAAATAGCTAGAATTTAATGAAGATTCAATATGATATTCAGCATAAAATTTAAAAAGATCACTACATCTAATATAACAATTTCATACTGAAAATTCAACAAAAGCAGAGCTCTCAAAATGATTAAGTAAATGACTATAGGCTTGAAAAAGAATAACTATCTAGCAGATGAAGAAGATGATAATCTATCAACATGAGAGTATGCTTAGACTTCAAGAGAGGGTAATATGATAATGTAGAACAGAATTACATTCAATCTTCTTAACAGCATAATCACTACAGGCTGAGATGATTAGTCATTATACAGGTTAAGATGATTAGTAAATAATAATTGTCTAGGCAATAGCAAATAACCTCAAAATTACTTTGTATATGAATAACACATAAATGTGACAATCACATGGTAACAGCACTAAAGAAAAAGAGCTATATAAACAGAACCTTCTCTGAACTCATCTTTTAGAAATTATTTTAGTATTTACTTAGATAGATTATATAGTTGGTAATTGAATATTAGTTCACTTACATCTAGCTGAAGCTATGACAGTTATCTACAGATATTAAATATGAAAGAAGAGAACTAATTGACCTTTTTAGATAGAATTTATATAACATGAAACAAGCTGTAAGAATCTGATATTTTATAGTGATATAGTATCTTATATTACTAAAATTTAAAATTTTAAAAGTTAATAAAGAATTTTTATTTTATTTTATTTATAAAATCTATTTAACATTGCATATTGATGATTAGAAAATTATAGATCTCAAAGAAATGAACTTAGACTAAGTGTTAATTGAGATACAGAAGAAATTTAAAATAAAAAATGTTAAAAAAAACAAGCTTTATCTTGAAATAAAAATTAAATATAGATTAAATAATGATATAATAATCTTATAAATTTACTATATTAAAGAGATTTTTAAAGATTTTAAGATAAATAAAATTAACTCTACTGACACATTTATAACAGTAAGCATATGACTTGAATTTGTCTTTGAGAGAAATATTAAATTAAAAGATGAGTTTATAACTATAAGATATTATCAGAGACTTAGATTACTTTAATATATTATATTAAGCATAAAATCAGATTTAGTATTTACTATGAATTATTTATCAAAGTTCAACTTATATCTGAATAAAAACTACTGAATAACTATGAAGTATATTCTTCACTATATAAAGAAGACAAAAGCTTTAAGAATAGTTTATAAAAATAAGAAAAATAATAAAAATCTATATTTAATAATTTATTATAATTCAAATTAAATAGATATATACTTTTAATATAAATTAATATTTGATTATATTATCATAATTAATAAATTTTTAATTTCATGATATTCATAATATTAAATATCAACTACAAAATCAATAATAGAAACAGAATATATTACTGTTAGTAAAATTGCATGTAAGTTTATTTAATTGAATGATATACTGCAAGATGTAAATCTGATGAAAGAAAAGTCAAAGATCTGCATAATATTGCATATGAATAATAAAGATATCATTGATCTGACAAAAAGAGAGTTCTTGACAAAGAGATTTTATTATATAAAGATTCATTATCATATACTTTGCAACTTAATTGAGAAGGAAGATGAATCTTTCACATGTAGATTTTACAGTGAGTAAAGCAGATGAATTTATGAAGTCTCTATCAAAGTCAGCTTACAATGAATTTGTGGAGATAATAGGATTGATGAAGGTCTAGTCTCATTGATGAGGATGATTGATTTTTACATTGTTATGCAGCCTCTAAGAAGATGTAAAGAGAATACAGATTAGAGAAGTAATTGTGTGTTTTCTTTGTGCAAAATTACCATACAGATGCATAATAGAGCTTTTCCTAATAGGGAAACTAGCATCTGATTTCTGTATTTAATTTTATTGTGGATTTGAGGGGATTCAGCAGCTAGGGGATAGGTGGCAAGAGCTCAGGCTCACCATGGCATGAGGGGGTGTTGGAGGATTCCCCGGCTACCCGAGGTCACGTGCACCTATATATATATTTATTAGTTGTGGCTAGCTCGCTTAGAGTCCCACAATGCAACAAGGTTGATAACGGTCCTCTTAAGAGGGTTTACGATATGCTTATCTAAGCAACCTCCATCTAAACACGTGATCATGTTCAAGTTTGATGTCTGCGTCTTTTGAACGTTCAACTGCTCTCAGTATCGAATCAGACAAACCATGATTATATAGAGGCATGGCTGCGCACACTCCTGTGGACAGGAGATCGGCGTCTATGACGATGTATGATCCGGCGCGAGACACATATACCGTCTCTGATGATGCGCCCCCACTCGACAGCGTGGAAGATCGCCACAAAGTTCACGGACTAGACCAAGATGAGCAGCGGAACGATGGAGTCTTGCAGTCTCCAGGATCTGCTCCCTCCCATAATGAAAAGAACAAGAGGAGCCCTATAAATGAGTCTTTTAAGGTAAGATATGGCTCAGTTTATGAGGTTAATTACGTCGCATTATTACTTAAACGCGGCATTTTAATCCATGCATCGGCCCCTTTTGATTTGGGTCTAGTTATTTCTTCCCCTAGCTCTAGGGCGCGGTGGGACTGATCCGGACCTTGGCTTGGTTTGTTTGCGGTCTCCATTATTCCTCCACTCATCAACGCCACAGGAACCTATACGCGGTAGCCTCTCCAAACCCGAAAGAAGCTTTTCTTCGCCTAGCAATAATAACATTAACCCTCTTGAGCACACCCATCCAACAGCAGCAGCAGCATCCGGCAAACTGATCCCTTCCCCCCCTTCCTCAGTATTAATGGGGTCTTCCCCGGTAATAGCAAACGGTGAATATTTAAATACCTTGACCCACTGGGGATATGCGGGAAATAGTAACTCTCTAATGGTTTCCGCTGTCCAACAGATGAACTGCCAATTAACGAGCAACGACCTTCACAAAGCCCGAAGACCTCTCCTAACCAGTTAACCAATAATGGGCATTCCAATGCCCCTGAAGGGCGCCCAAAAGGCAAAGCTTCCATCAACGAGAAAAAACGAAAGCTTTCCGAGAACGAGCCACAAAGCGACAAAACAGAACCCGCTCCGGAACAACGGCCATTATCCAAGCGTAAACGGCAGGAGGAGCGTTTGCAAAAGAATAGAAAACGCGGCAAGACTCCGCCATCAGCATATTCGCGTCGAGACCGCTCTCCCACACCTCCCCCCCGTCGTTCTCCGTCTCCGATACGTCGTTCGGCTTCTCCAGATGCCGTCCCAAGACCAAGAAAACGACCTGGTGGCGCTGCTCGGATTGGCTCTGCGAATCTCGAAGCACTGAGGCGGAGACAAGAGGAACGAGAACGACAGAGAGAAGAGGAAGCTAAGCTGGCTTTGAAGGATCGAGGTGTTCATGATGTCGTTCGGCAACATTACAACGCGGTGCCGGAAAGAGGCAGGGAATGGCGGAAGACTGATAGCCGAATAAAGGGACTTCGAAGCTTCAACAATTGGATTAAGAGTACCGTTATCCAGAAGTTTTCACCTGATGAGGATTTCTTGTCACGAACAAGCGGGAAGAACTGGGCTGACGCAGAGCCGGCAGAAGAAAAGAAATTGCTCGTCATTGATATAGGATGCGGGAAGGGAGGAGATTTGGGTAAGTGGCAGCAGGCACCGCAACCGGTGGACCTCTACGTGGGCTTGGATCCTGCAGAGGTTTCCATTGAACAGGCTCGCGAGAGATACATTAGTATGAAAAGTGGGAAGGGCAGGATAGGTCGCAGAGGCCACCCTCTCTTCCATGCAGAATTCTATCCCAAGGATTGTTTCGGGGAGTGGGTAGGCGATATCCCTATCGTACAGCGGGTTGGGATTGACGGCAGCGTTGGACCCGGTGGATCCATGATGGCGGCCCGCTGGGGAGGCGGCGGATTTGACATTGTTGTGTCGATGTTTAGCATGCACTATGCCTTTGAGAGCGAAGGGAAGGCTAGACAGATGCTGCACAATGTGGCCGGGCTGCTAAAGAAAGGCGGCCGCTTCATCGGTGTCGGGCCGAATTCTGACATTCTTAGTACGAAGGTGGTGGAGTTCCACGAGAAGAAGAAACAGCAGGAGGCTGCTACTGCCGCCGCTGCGGCTAAACTTGATGAAGGCGGGGAGCGTGAGGACGGCGAAGTGGAAGAAACACCGATGACGGTGCCTGAGTGGGGAAATAACATTTACCGCGTTCGTTTTCCGGGAGAGACGCCTGAAGATGGCATTTTTCGTCCTGCGTTTGGCTGGAAATATAGCTACTTTATGGAAGAGGCTGTGGAGGAAGTTCCGGAATATGTCGTGCCCTGGGAAGCTTTTAGAGCGTGAGTAGGGTGGATCTTTAGAATGAGTGAGACTGTATCTTTTTGGCTAACATGTTAATTCCTTTCCAGTTTGACGCAGGATTACAATCTGGAACTCCAGTATCGCAAGCCATTCCTGGATATTTGGAAGGAGGAAAAGGACGATCCCATTTTAGGGCCGCTCAGTGAGCGAATGGGAGTTCGGGCGCGAGGCGGTGGGCTCCTTCTCGTCACCGATGAGGAGTTGGAGGCTGCAAGTATGTTACCTCTTTCGTTTGTCCTGTTTGAAACTCCATGATGCTGACCGGGCTGCTCTAGGTTTTTACCATGCCTTTTGCTTCTACAAGGTCTAAAGCTCCAATAACTTTACCAGACACTTTTGCTTCGTATTCTTTTCTGGTTCTTGCTGTATATCAACTGTTTATACGCTTCGCTTCCCTGCTCTTAGCGTTTTGCCGAAGCTATGATCCACGGTTTTATCACTCGCTCAGGCGGTCTAGAGTTCTATTTAGCAGTGTTGTACTCTGTACTTAACACAGCTGCAATCCACATTCAAATGTTTTAGTAACAAACATTTGACACGTGTAGTCAGTTAGAATGGGGCTTAAACGATCTTTCTATGAATTTACGCATATAAATCTTCTAAATTCTTAGTGGCATGAAGTTGTAGAAGGGATCCCCATCCATATAAAATATCGACTTTTAAGGTCCCCTCAAAAGCTGGCCCTTGGAGCTCAAGGGTTTCTACGTCACGTGAACAGTAAAGAAGAGCCGGCTTCCAGAAATAGTTTAGTGCCATCACGTCGCGTCTTCGCTGCGCTGTAAGATATCCCCGTATCTCTCTTTTGCTCCTCAGTAACTCAGCATATCTTCTACAAAGTACAGCGCCATTTATACGGAGGCCATGGCGTCCCCAGCAATCACCCACCGCACCATCCGCATCAGAGATCATTACGATGACCCTCAACAATCCAGATCCAACAGACCATCCCGGCGCTCTAATGTCCAGGGGCGCCGCAGCGACCAACCCAGCCAGCGTATCCTTCAAATGCCCCCCTACCAACCCCAGGTTGCCCCGTTTAATGCCGCTGCAACGCACAAACTGGGCATGTTGCCCAATTTCGAACGACTGACGTCGCTGCGCAAGCGCCTGTCTGAGGCAGCCAGTGTATTGACGGATTGTGCGGGGATGATTAATGACCGACTTGTGGATGCTAAAGTGAGGGAGGTGAAGGCGAAGGCAGCGTTGCAGAAGAAGAGGAAGGGTGGTGGGGATGAGGAGGTTGGAGTATATGAGAGTAGGGAGTCTGATGGGGGAGGTGAAGCGGATGGGGAACAGGAGGAAAGAGAAAATAAGAAGATTGCGTTGATGGAGGAGCAGGTGAAGAGGTTGACCGGGCAGTTGGAAGAGCAGATGCGCAAGATTGTTGATGCGGAGGTGAGGACGGCGGAACTGACGGATGGGTTGAATCGGTTGCATCAGGAGGCACAGAAGGCTATGGCGGCGGCGCCAGATGCACGACAGGCGAAGCGGAGGAGGACGAGGCAGAGAGCTGGGCAGGAGAGTGGGGATGAGAGTGGGGATGTGGATGGGGATGGGGATGAGGGTGAGGGTGAGGATGAGAGTGAGTTTGCTGCTGATGGAAGAGCTGGGAGGCTGGACGGCGGTGCGTGTAAGGTACTGCGGAAAGAGCTGAAGGAGAAGAAAGACCAATGGAAGGATATGTCGTTGACGGATCGGTATGCTTCCTGAACCATTTTTGGATTCCTACCAGGATATGTTTATTCATATACTAATTTCACCCCAGCTACACCAAAAACAACAGCTACATCGAATTCTTCCGCGTGGTGCACGAAACACAGCATCCTGGCGACGAAATACCTCCACTCCCCCACCCGTCGACCTGGTTCGCAGACAAAGAACATCCACAACAACGCAACCACCACCAGCAAACTACAGCTGCAGAGGAAGACGCAGAGTCCTCTGATGACCTAGCCGTTCGTGGCGAACGCGTCTCCCTCCGCTGCCCTATTACGCTGCTTCCCTTCTCAGAACCAGTGAAGAGCAAGAAATGCCCGCATAGTTTTGAGCGACGCGCGATCGTCGCGATGCTAGAGCGGAGCAAGGAGCGGGTTACTGTTCCTAACCCGAATCGACCGGGCGCGGGGCGTCGTGTTAATTGCGTAAACTGTCCTGTGTGTACGGTGCAGATTACGCAGTTTGATCTGGAGGGTGATATTGTGGCGGCTAGAAGGATTAGGAGGGCAGAGGAGAGGAAAAGAAGGGAGGAGGACGATGAGGAGGATGGGGAGGATGAGGACGACGACGACGACGGCGTTGTCATGAATCAGGCAAGGGAGCGGGGGAATACGAGGGTTAAGTTAGTGAGGGCGGAGACGAGGGAGCCTAGCAGGGTGCCTGATACGCAGATGGATGATGTGGATGATTGATTGGTTATCTTCTTTATTCATTTTCACTCCGCCTTCTCACCTTGCGATGGGAGTTTGATTGTTCTCATTCTTCCCTTGACATCTAATGTAATCTCGAATGAAAAAACTCATACCCTTTTCTGCCTAATATTGACTGTCATCTCCGTTGTTGCCAAGCTCAACCCCTTCCCCTTCGATAAACATTTGTACAATACTTAGGTTTGTATATGTTTATATATATATATATATTATATTTTATATATCTTTCATTTCATTTCTACCCACAGCCGATCATAGAACTGTATATACTATCTCAACTAGCCCCTAAATTCGAAGGTAAAAATGAAAAAGAAAAATATTAACCACCCCCTACCTCTTACCCTGCACAGATCTGAACAAGAAGAATTATGTGTTGGCATTCGCGTGTTTGCGTGAGTGGGAATCATGAAACATGCAAGAAGCAGAGAAAAAAGGATATGATAAAAAGAAATGAAAACGAAGAAGAAAAAGCGGAATTGAATTTCCACTATATTTTCCGTGGTACGGGAAGCAGTATAGAGGCTATGAATAGAATCTATCATGGGGGATATCGTGAATATGTTGGGATACACGGGGTTTGGGGGGTGAAGGAAAGAAAATAAGAAGACAATAGAAGCCGGGGAAGTAAACAAAGAACAATCCATGAATCTCTTGCCATGCGGTCAAAGCGCCCTGCGGGACGAGAGACATAAACAACGTTTTTTTTTATGTGTGTGTGTGTGTTCTCAATCTTTTTTTTTTTTTTTTTTTTTTTTCCAAATTTGACGGTTTTCTTATAGGTATTTTCTTATATTATTCGCTTTTTAACTATTTCCTTTCTTTTCCTTTTTAGGTGATGGGGCATGATGAGCCGTTGGGCGGGTGTGGGGTTCTCATTAACGCGGAGTGCGTGCCGGGTAAGAGGACGAGGGGAAGTTTGCAATAATAATGCTCCTCTTTTTTTTTTTTTTTTTTTTGGATCTCTTTTACCGAGTAATTAGGTTGAGACAATCGAGGACGATAAGCGTAACCATCCTGCAATCAACAAATGGTTCGTTAGCGCGATTAAATAACTAACTAGCAGAGTGGGGCGGGGATTTTGTTCGAAAAGCAAAAAGGGTAAGGAAAAAGCAACAAAGTGTAGGAAATGGGGGTTGAACTCACGCGTGGGGTGCAATCCGAACGTAATACGTCCCAAACCCACGATAGAATCTCAACCACCCCTCATCTTTGATGACCTTTCTGGTGCAGTCCAGCATACCACGATACGGCAACTGTCCCGTCTTCGGATCCTTCTGCTGCTTCTGCAGGCGAGTTTTTACAAAGTCGAAGGGCAGGGACATGAAACTTGCAAAGAATCCCGCGATAGCGGAAGCCGCGAAAGTTCTATTCTGCGCAGACAGGTTCGTGTGTGCTTCTAGTTGAGACTTGGATTCAGCGAAGAAAGTCAGCTGACCGAAATTCAGCGCCATGGCGCGCACGACGGTTGGTAACGCGCCGGCCCAGAGGGCTGCGATTCCCTCTGACTTTGAAATACGGGATAGCGCATCGATAACGGAGCGGTAGTTTGCTCTGGCTTCTTTGGGCTTGAGGCCGTCGGATTGCATGCGGATTAAAGCTAGATCTGCGGGATTGCCGATCATGGCTGCTAGTCCGCCAGCCGCGAGGCCTGCAGCTGCGCGTTCTGCGAAGGTGACTTTCTTCCCCGCTGCATCGGCGCGGGACTTTAGAGCAGTGGAGAACGTGTCGAAGAGACCTAGGCGGGCTGTTGTGTAGACGGCTTGTCGAAGGAGGCCGGCAGAGAGACCGGTGTAGAGATCTAGGACTTTCCCGGAGGCGATGATTTGCTTTGCGATGCCTATGGCGGAGGGGCGGGGACCTGTTCGGGCGCCTTCGCCGGCTAGTTGGAGGCGGACCTTCACCATGTCGATAGGCTGGATGACGGCGGTTGCGGTCATGCCGGATATACCCCCGTTGATGAAGGGGAGGAGGGGGCGAATGTAATGGTTGTGGAAGATGGAAGAGGAATTCTCCGAATTGGATTCGACTGAAGATTTGGGGGAATCATTGGTGGCCTTGGCCGGTGTGGATGAGGCAGCCATGGCGGGAGGTAGGATTTGGGCTATTTGAAAGAGAGGAGGGATGGGAGAAACGAGTCCACAACGACGTGCACGATTTCCTCGAGCTCCTGCTGCAGATGTAGAAGCAGTCAGCGCTATGCGTATGCTTTTAGTAGTACTCCGTATGCCTGGGTATATTTGTCTGATGCTCCGCGATAGACCTTGGATCACGTGGTGATCTCCAGTATCTATTCGGAGGGGAATAGCACAGTTTCCCCATTCCCTTCCCCTCCCCGCTCTCCCCCCCTTTCCCCGCGGGCCACTGACCACAGCATTGCAGATGGAGCACAACAGGAGAGAGAGAATGAGCAGATGGATTGCCGAACAACAAGGCAACTCACGGTAGGTAGATGGAAACAGTCGGGAGAAGAATCTCCGCAAACCGAGCAAGCAGGAGAAGAGAAGAGAGGGGGCAGTTGCGGAGAGGTAAAGCGGGGGTGAGATCGCGTGAGACCGCGTGAGAGAGATAGTGGCGGGTGTTGAGATGGGGGGCAGATGTGAGGATAATCTGGGTTGAGATGGTAGAGGAGGGAGAGGGAGTCGGGGTGGGAGGAAGGGGTGAGACCGAGTAATGGGATGGAGGATGAGGATGAGGTTGAGGTTGAGGTTGAGGTTCGGGTTGAGGTTTGAGGTTGATTAGAGAAGATGCAGTCGATTGATTATTAACCGGGTTGAGGCGGTAGCGAACGCGGGGATTGCGGAAGAGAGTCACTCCAAGGTACCTGCAGGTAGATTTGACATCATGGCTCAGCAAGGGCTCAGCAAGGGGCACGGCTAGGGCACGGCATCTATTACCAGGGTTCTGAACGCAGCCTATTTTCCCTGGATACCCAGGGTATATTCGGTTATGTATCCGGGTATGACGATATGTTCTCTAGCTAATCACATCCTACATTTACTGGTCTCAAGCTATGGTTAAGAAAAGGGGGGTGTTTATGTGGATGTACAAGATACCTCAGATATACCTGAGAGCTACCTGCACCAAGGAATGCGGGGTAAGAAGGTTAGCTCATTGGCTTCTTGATGTGTTTATGTACTTCCTATTTAATTCGTTCCCTGATTATTTCGACTGTTGCGATATCTCCATCTTTCTTATTTCTCAATCTCTATTTTCTATTGGATTTCTACCGCACAGCACCATTCTCTTCTGTCTATGTTATCGTCTCACCTTCGATGTCAGCGCCCTTGAAAGGCTTAAACCAGCTAACGAACTCTTAACCGACCCCGATCTCAGCCCCGCAAATTCAGCCCCATCTGCGGAGCTCTTCATCCTCTCTCTCCCCCTTCATCACACCACATCTCACTCTCTGTCATCTCCACACTGTTATTCATTCATTAATTATTATTACTATTCCCTTCAGCAATTCACGACATTACTTAATATCGGGTTCATAACAACACTTGTCTGGTGGCCTTTATCTAGAAAGTCACACCACAAGCCCGCAGTTAGATCAATGACACAGTAGATCTATCACCATCGTTCTATAACCGCTTCCATCGATAACTACAATTTTTTTCAAAAAAAAAAAAAAAAAAAAAAAAAAAGTTCAAAGGACCTGCAAATGAACATCCTTAGATATCCGAAGGCAGCTCCATGTCTCCGAACCTACATACCTTTTCCCCTCAGAACGGCACTCCGGCACTCAGGCATTCCATGTCTCCGTCCGGCCCCGCTGATGGATGGATCTTACCACAGATCCCGCCCTTAGCTCTCACGTTCTCATCCCTATCCCCACCAGCTGGAATTCAACTCCCGAGCCATCTCCGCAAATTGACCGCGTGTTTGCCAACAGCTATACTTTACTATATTATAAGAATCTGATCTTCCGCTGGTCTTTGTCTGCGTTTGCCGGCAGTGTTGTAGTAGTTACCGGGGCCAACGGGACCTTGAATGGCCATTGTTTATATTGCTATGCAAGCAGGCTGGCAGGAAGCTTGGGAGGAGAAAAAATGGATAAATATTCCAGCTTGAGTGCTTCCATCCACAGTGGACAACATGCACGGGGAGTATCGTGTCAACCCTTGTTGACAGTAAATCAAATGGTCATGTCGTCTCTATTTCTATTTCTGTTCCTATGTTCCTGAAGACCTTTTCTCTTCCCTTTCTTTTTCTTCGCCTTTCTCGACAGCATATCTAGCTGGATGAGTTCTGCGATAGAATTGCAGCCGTCTGCAGCCATGGTAGGATCTATTATTACTCTTGTAGATTGGTTTCTAATGATGAAACATAATCGTGAAGCCAATTTTTCACGGAATTTCTCTCGTATCATGATACAGAGTCTATTTCTTTCCAGAAGACCATTATCTTTCTGTCTTATTTCTTTCCTCGTTGTCCTCGCGATGTTGTGATTATTTCCCCTCTCGTTTTCCTTCCTTTGACTTCTACTTCGGCATTTCCTTCGGCTTTCCATGATAGTTAGTTACCCTTTTTCGTTTTCTCTCTCTTGCTGGTTGACTGGATGGTGTGGTCGTCGTTTCGTTCCACCCCACCACATCCGAACAGTAGAACCAATTTTCATACATCAAGCAACGCAAGACCAGACTCGACGGATCGGGTGAGAATGGAACAATACAGATATCCCTCATCTAGGGGAATTTATTCCTCGCTTATTCCACTATCATTTGTCATGGCCGACCTCCAATGTTGACAGTGCAGAATTGCAGAATTGCAGAGATGCCTTGCACCAATCAAAGACCCCATTCGTCTTATCTTCCCCTATTGAACGAGAGCAGCAGATGGTAAATATGACCGTCGTACGCGACTGTTACTTAGAGCCAGCAACAGTAAGTTTCTGGGTTTTATGGTCAGTATTGTTCCAGGCATAGGAATATGAGGGTTTTGCTCCGTCCCTCACTCCATTGTAGTATGGGGTATGCTCAGAGAAGAGAAAAAGGAACAAGCGAATGAAATAATACCTGATTAGAAATTACGGAGTGATTCTCGGATGAAATGGCTGGATTCCTCCATTCCTCTTTCTGGGTTAGAGGACTAGATCAGCCACGCAGGCGGCCTTGATTTGATCCGGCTTTGTCATGTTCTTTACAATCCGCGAGAGACTAATAAGCAGATGGGTTTCGATGTTAGGATCAGGTTTTGTTGCTTTCAACCTGCCTCCCTGCTTTGCACTGAGTGCACATGAAGAAGCAGAAGCCACGACTAAAACGACTCTCCAACTCACATCCAATGGGCAGCAAAGTTCCTGCTCGCCAGTCGGAAGACACTCTTCTGCGCCCGGATCTCTACCTGTACGTGTACATGCGGCATACAGTCAGCAACGAGTGCCATTGGAAACGACCAACACTCAGGGCAGAGATATATTCCCACCTGAGGTAAATTACATACACATGTATCCCCAAAATGTATCTGGTGACAATTGGGGAATGGCGTTCTGGCAGCAGAGGAGACGATAGTAGTCGGGACATTCGCTTGTTGGTAGCGCGGCTGAGGGACGCAGCTGTAGTACCATGGCAGTTGCTAGATGGATAACGGGGGAGAGATAGAAGAGAAAGACGACGGGGAGGGAATATAGTGATGAAAGCATTTTAATGCATGGGGTATGGAGGATGGAATAGTTGAATGAGATGGGTAACTATTTTTTTCTTTGATCCCTGCGGATTTAATTCTCTCCCTCAGCTCTGTCTGTCCTCTTTGTCTGCTGTTATATAACTATGTATGTGTAGGTATGTTAACTACCTACCTCCTGCAGCATGGCGATTCGAGTCATATATTTGAACTTGAAATAGCTGCTCAAACAAGACTCTTTATATGGCCATTGTAAGTCAGGTAAGAAGAAGCAAGCCTTTTCAAGACAATCGTGCGGTGCTTAGTGCTGACTTTCTCCCTAGATTTTATATCTCCACTCTGCCCCGTAGATATTAATGATGAGTTAATTACCGTCCAACCAGATATCTTCGTATAGCGTGCTCAACGCAAAGAGAGAGCAGTCGGCCAGCTGAGAGCGTCGTCATCTAGGTTGGTTGGTTGCATCGATTCGTTTATTACAGGCACCTCCCCTGAATCCCGGATCAGCAACCCTTGATTTGTCTTTCTATTTGATGGATAACTACCCCGTACTCCATGCCTTTATAGCAACTGTCCTACCGACGATGCACGGAGTTTGCAGCTTGGAAAATGAAGAAAGAGAGGTATAGTTACAGCATTGAGCGCGGGCGGGTTGAGCTCATTTCATGCGTTAGTTGCGGCGATCCCGAAGTGGTTAAACTTGTGGTTGGACGAAGCTATTAAGTTAAATGTGCTAATGGTTATTCTTAGCATCTCACTAACTATATTAATAACATGAATAACCGCATTTAACTATTAAGTGCCCGAATGGTTGGTTGGTTGGCAGCTTGCAAAACAAGTGAGACCCTTAAATGAACCAGTTTACGGGCATTGGCACATATGATCGGGTAGTTATGTAGATATGGACAGGGGGCGGAATAATAACCTAGCAATTTCACATAGAAGTTTCATCGGATGCATGGATAGTTAGTTGATTACCCCTAGGCCTTTTAAAAGGGGGCTGATTGAGCGCTCAGATACATCATTTGGCCCTGAAGATAACTAGCAGGTGCCCTGGTGGTATCTGCAGTACGCGGTTTCGGATCGTCTCCCATCTCACCGGCATTGTTTAATATACTTGCTGATATCTCCGAGAGGTGTGTTTTTAAAGCCCTTCAAATGCGGTTGTTATAAATAAGTTACTCCACAACAAGGGAAACGCTTAGCTCAGACTGCCTGGCTTGAGGGAATCGGAACGCTGAATTTGTTTCCGGTTTAGTTATGAACTAATTGGGTAGTTGACTAGTTACATCCCGCTTGTTTCAGAGATTTAACTATCCCGGTTGATTGAACGCAGCCAGATTTTTTAGTTGCTTAGATTGCTTGATTATATTCACTTCATGATTTTCCCTGCTTCTCTCACAGAGCCCTGCCTACATTTATTCTATTACTCACCATTCCCGTCAGTTAGTTACCTCTTTCTCCTCCGCCTCATTGGTATGACAAATGAGTATATCATGGATACTAGAGCCAAATCAGCAGCAAACTTTGCCGTGTTGGCAATTCAACTGCGTGGGACAGTGCATGTACTGTGCATCTCTTGTCTCACGTCCTCAAGTATCCCGCCGAAGGCCCCCAGATGATGTTGCCAGCAGTTCATTCTTGAAAAGCAATCATTTTATTTCCGTCATGCTTTGTATTCTGGAGTAGATTGTGTCCTAAAGGGTTAGGCGGGCAACTTGCAACCGGGTTAGGCATCCCACCACCATTACCAGCCGGGAAAGGAGATGAAATTAATTTTCAAACTGTAGTCTATTCTAGACACTTTGATTAGGGGAACAAGGTGTGAATGGTGGACAGGTCGAGGGAGAACACCGATCCTTAATTCCGTGCAAAGCCCTACGTAATGCTTGATGGTCCCATGTTCTCCTCTGAAGATGGCAACTTGAGAGTCTATGCGCACAGTCATCATAAGAAATCAGAATGCCATATATTCTATCTCATGCTATTGCATGTTCACCGGCCAAGCTGACGGAACGCCTGCCAGTATCTATACCAACTATTGGGAGAATTACGGAGCGCGAAAACTGGAAATTGAATCTCGTTTGCGGAAACGGTCGCAAGATTTGAGCAGCCGAAAATTTGTATCTCTTTTCTTATGGCTCTGGAAATTAACGTACAGAGGTGGCTAACTTGGACCGAAAAAATCAAACCAAAATATGAGAGACAAAACATCGACAACAGAAGCATTGAGCATCATTTGGCGGTATTCTGAACTCTAGCGGTCGGTCATACCATGATCTGAATAGGAAATGTCTCCGGATGTTCACAGACGGTTGAGTTTGCAGTTAACGCAAGCGCTTAATTGACACTGCTGACATCGAAAAATGAATCTTGGGAAGTAACTCATACACTCCTCGCACTGATGGAGCCCTTTCACACGATACCAGTGCCCTGTATGGTCACATTCGTGCCATTCTCGAATACGGCGAATACCCACCTCAGGACTCGGTGGTCTCTCATCAGGCCTTCGTTCACGAGCTACAAGTTGGTGATCCCTTTCAAAAAGGCGACTCTCAACCCATTGCTCGCACCGACAGGTTTTCCAAATTTTATTACAAACATAGCAAAATCCGGCGCCGCAATGGCAGCTAGTTGGATAAATAGCAGTTAGAGTCTCTGCGATGTGGTATATTCACAAGGAGATGGAACATACGTTACGTGGTTGCAGCCCGCTCTGAGTTCGATTACGCGGTGGCATTTATAAC